GCAGGAAACTTGCTGAGGGTGCACTCTCCCCATTATGCAGATAATTAATGATGCCTGGGGCTCCCCATTAGTGGCCACCTACTGGACTTCAGGGGACTGATCTTTTGAGCCTGGTAGTTTTCAATCCACCACCCATTTCTCTAGTCTGTTATCTCATCAACTTGTCTACGAGGATGTTACAGGAGAGAGTGTCAGGAACCTTGATCCATCAAGATAAATTACATTTCCTGCTCTTCCCTCACCCACCAAATTAGTCATTTCAATGCAGAAGGCTATGAGGTTATCAGGCATGGCTTCCCTTTCCTAATCCATGCTGACTGCTCCCAGTCATGATCTTGTTCTTGCTGTGTTTGGAAATGGCTTCAAGGATTACTGACTCCACCATCTTCCTCGGGATCAAGGTGAGACTGACCAGCCTGTAGCTCTCCAGATCTTGCCTTTCTGGAAGGCAGGACTGATGCTGGCTTTCTTCCAGACCTCAGGAAGGCCACCAGGAGCTGATGGAGAGTAGCCTCAGTTTCATTGACAGCTCCCTCAGCACTTGTGGATGCACCCTCTCAGGTCCCATAGATATTTAAATGTCCAGTTCCTTAAAGTGCTCCCTGATCTGGTCCTCTTCTGCTGAATATAAGTCTTCTTTGCTCCAGAGTTTTCCTCTAGTCTCAGCAGTCTGGGAATCCTGAAGGCTGGTCTGAACAGTAAAGACTAAGGTGGAGAAGGCATCAAGTACCTTGGCCTCTTCCATTCCAGGGACCCTGACCCATTTAGCAGTGGGCCCATATTTCCTCTTGCTTTCCCTTTGATGCTGACACACTTGTAGGACCTTTCTCATTTCCATCAGGTTCAGTTCCAGACTGGCTTTGGCTTTCCTAGCCCCATGCCTACGTGCTTGAACCACATCTCTACAGTTCTATCTCACCTGCCCTTGCTTCCACCTCTTGCTCACCTCTTTTTCACGTGTGAAGTCAGTTAGGAGCCCATGGCACATCCATGCAGGCCTCCTGCTGCCTTTGCTTGACTCCCTCTTCATCAGCATCCTTGAAAATCCATCAGCTCTCCTGGACCTCTCATCTCTCTAGGGTTGTGTCCCACAGGAACACAGCTTTCCAGCCTAGTGATCTTCAAGCCATTCACCCCAGCAAGGAGCTACCTAATCTCGAGGGACCAATTAAAGCCCTTAGAGATGAGACTCAGATCCCTTTGTCTGACAGCAGATCGTTATTCACAAGTATCTGCACTCTGCTGTATCCCCAGCCTCCACAGCTGCCCATGTCAATGGCTTCCACAATCTAATTACAGTGCATTGAGGCAAGTATTTCCTTCCATTAGTTTCCTTTATAATTGCTGGCTGTGTAGGAGTCAGGAAACCACAGAATGGAGAAAAAAATAATTCTAAATTAATTTTTTCAGTCCATTCATAATTATTTATAAATGTTCTCCCATGATAGAATATATTTTTAAATGAAGATGATGCCCAGGAATTGGCAAGGCCAGAGTTTTGGCTAGTCCAGAGCTTCAGATATTCTAAACAAACTGAGGAACAGGTGACTGAAGAGGCCATTGGGTCATAAAGCTCCACATCAAGGGACTTGAAAACAAAGAGATTCAACATAAGTTTTTAAAAAGTAACTATTCAAACAGTATGGAGCAAAGAAATGGGAACACCTCTGATCTCAGCATCATTGCTTTCTACATATGTCCCAGAGCAGCCTCTCTCCTTTCTGCTCTAGGATCAATACCAGGAAAACTCATCATCATTACCTCTGGCAAGCCCTACGGCCAGCCAAAGCTCTCTGCTTAAGTCACTTAGATAAGCAGAACATGGCAAGTGGTGAGAAAACCACTATTTCCTCAGCCAAAGGGCTCCTTGGGTTCATTCCACAGGGCTTACAATATGCACTTCACACTGAGCCTGTTTTTGTCACCCTTCAGTCTCTAGCTCCTGCATCTCAGCAATGTGGCTCTCCTCAGCATCCCTGAGGAGGGCTGGCATGGTGAGGACATGGCCAGCTTGCCCAGATCCTGAAAGAAGTCAGTTGCCCTCCTGCATCTGGTCCTGAGGGACACTGTGGTGACAGTGGGTGCCCTCACGTGAATGTCAAACGTGGGGCAGACAAATTACAATCCGATGTAAAGATTTGCTGCCATGTTATCAGACACCACTGGAAGTCAGTATGAGCTAGCACCACCATGAAGCAGAAGAATGGGGATCCTACCGCTCTGGCTCTTCTGGGTTCCCCTTTTCAGTCTCCCCAATCCCTCTTGAACTAGCTCCAGACACAGCAGCAAGCAGGTGGGTCCCCGTTTCCCCACAGCTGCTGGAGTGGGGTAGATGCACACAAACACGGGCAGGCATATGCACACACACAGGATTTTCATGCATGGTCAGGGAGCTCATGAGGCGAAATGCTGATCCAGCTTGGCACTGGGCAAGACCAGGCTGTGAACCTCCTGCTGGATGCACCTCTCTGTAACAGCGACCACCAGGTACTTACGGGCAGCCACAAGGGCTAAAAAATCCACTACAATCACACTATGCTTCAGTAGAAGGGCTGGAGAAAATGAAGAAGACTTTAGCAAATAGGAGCAGCAAATCAAATCCTTACACCACCAGAAAAGACCACACTAGCCAATTGGTAGGTTGGGAAAGGTGTGACAGAGGGTGCAAGGAAGCTGGTACAGCTCAACTGGGACAAGTATAGGAGGATATATTGTTACATGAAGATACATCATTAGCACAGCAGGCTGAGAAGGTATTAATCAAAAAGCCAGACCTGCTTCTAATCACAGAAAATTGAAAGGATCTTAATGCCAACTGGATTAAATGCAGTAATTTAACCAGGTAGGCCAAAAATTGGTCTGAAGAGTAACTAGATAAAGGCATCAAAACTGGCAACAAATCCATGTTATGATGCAGTAGGAGGAAGGCAAGCAGTCTGCAAGGCACTAAGATGTGGAAGGAGACCCACAGAAGTGTTTGCAGAGAGGATTATTTACACCAGAGGTAGCAAAGAAAGGGAACCCCTTCCATGTGGGTTCAGCTTTTCCCAGCCCTCAGGACCCCTTAGGCTTCCCATAATTCTCCTTCTTCCTCTGCCCTGGGGAAAGGAGCCCAGCAGGGATGGAGGGGAAGGGGACCAGCATCTCTGCCTGAGACTCACACTGGGCTGGCAGATCAGGAGACAGGCATCAGTGACGTGGGCTGGTGGTGGCCACAGCTTGGCGCCGATGGACATCACGTTGGAGAAGAGCCAGAGGAAGCGGAGCTCCACCTGCACCCCGCAGGGGAAGGTCACCATTTCACTCACTGGCTCTGGAAAGGAAAGTCCAGCAGGGTCATCACTTGCTGGGCCTCAGCTCCTCAGGGGGTCCCACCAAGACTGGTGTCCCTGAGGGACATAGAGACCCCTAGCCCCCCTTCTTCCCCACACCTGGTCACCCTCCAGTGCCCTGCATGGCTCACCGCGGCTGCGTCCCCAGCGCTCAGCAGCTGCTCCCAGGGGACAGATGGGGTCAGTCAGGGACCGGGCTTCCTTCAGAGTGTGTTTGATCTCCATTACCTGCTTCCCAGTGACCAAGGGATCCCGGCCAATGTCTGGGAAAGAGATTTTGGAGGCACAAGGGTCACTCCAGGTTCCTTATTTTTCACCCTGCCTCTCCGACCATCCATGAACATAGAATCCCAGAAGCAGAATCATTTTGGTTGGACAAGACCACTGAGATCATCAAGTCCAACTGTTAACCCAGCCCTGCCAAGGCCACCACTAAACCATGTCCCTCAACACCACATCTACATGGCTTTGAAATCCCTCCAGGGATGCTGACTCCACCACTGCCCTGGGCAGTGCCTGACAACCCTTTTGGGGATAAAAGTGTTCCTAATATCCAGTCTAAACCTCCCTTGGCACAACCTGAGGCCATTTCCTCTTGTCCTATCATTTGTTACTCAGGAAAAAACACTGATCCCTCCCTTGCTCCAGCCTCCTCTCAGGCAGTTGCAGAGTGAGAAAGCCCCCTTTTCTGAACACTTCCAGTTTCCTCAGCTGCTCCTCATAAACTTGTGCTCCAGCCCCTTCCCCAGCTGCCCTTCTGCTTCCAGGTTACTAAAGGGTTGCTCAGGGCATGGCCTGCAATTTGGTTTCTAGGGATAGCTGGGACAGGGTGGTGTGGAGCCAGCTGATATCTGCTGAAGTGGTTTCTAGCTCATTCCTTACCTTCTAACACATCTTCCAGCATGTGTGTAACCTTCTTGTCCTGCAGAATATGTTTCTTCAGATATTTCATGAAGATCCCAGAGCTGAACTCCCCATCCTGCAACTCATAGGCTTCTGCATCTTCGCTCCTGCAAGACAAAGGACTTGTCCTCACCTTTCTGTGACAGAACAAAGCCCTGGGGGTGACTCAGGGCTTGCCAACTGATGCAGACTCTGTTGGCTAAGTCTGAACCAGCTCCTCATGCAATGGCACACTGTGCTTGGTTCTGGCCCAGGAGAGGGTAGGAAAGGCATGGGATGGGAAAAGAGCCACCACACATGAAGGGATACAAGGAGACAGAGCCAGGATTTAGGCCTGTGTTATGGTGTGGGGATGGCCAAGTGCACTTACGTTGCATAGCCATAGACGGTGTTGCCCCAGGGCGCCAGTGGCTGTACCTGGGAGAGGGCACACTCTGGGTTATACCTGGAAGAGAAGACAAAGGTATGAGTCCATCAGCATGTGCCTGGAGCAGACAGAGCCTGTGTGCTCCACCCAATCTATCTTCTATGGATGGCAATAAGATGAGCCCTCATGTCACATACAACCACCCATGTTACCTGGGCAGCAAAAAAAACTAGAGTAAGGAATCTTACAAAGAACCCAGACCATGAGAAAATAGGGCCAGCTTTGACCTCTCTGCACTGGTGAGCTGCTCCCTGCCCTGCAAGAGAGCCTGAAGCTATGGGTGCAACCATACCTCCTCTCTCCTGAGGCTGGTCTGTCACACATCCAGGCAGCAGCACAGTGCAGAGAACATACAGGTTCACTGTGGGCCAAGGGACAGCTGTCCCCAAAGGGCTTGGTGATGTGCACACGGCATGACTTGGGCTCAGCTGCCTTTCTCAAAGGTCTGGGGTGCCCCACAGCTCCATTCCAGACCATGCACACACCTTCTGCCTCAGGACATCAAAGCATGCTAGAGCTGATACACCTCTAGATCTCATTTAGAGGTGCGATCAAGGACACACACCCAGATCTCAAAGTCCAAAGTGAGCACTGACACTGTTATTTCCAAGATCAAGTAGATCTGGGGTGACCGTCCTAGTTCCACCAAAAAGACAGAATGGTTGAACTTAATAGTCAAGCCTTGTCTATCAAACCACAGCCAGACTGAACAACATGGGGAATGGCTGCCTCTAGTTTACACCAGTGACTTGGAGCTGTTCCCAGTCACAGAGAGATAAGAGCCAAGCACAGAGGCAGCATTACCCAAGTGTTCTTCAATTCCAGCCCAGTTTCCTGGGGCTGAAGCTGGTACGCTAAGGAGAGCAGAAGGGATGGTTGTAACACCAGCAGCCAGCATGATACCTACTGCTGGTGGAGAAGTCTGAAGGTGTTCAATGGCACTATTCATCTGGATTGTGCAAGTTTTCCAAAGAACAGAAAATGTGGAAAAAAAGATAGGCCTCTAAATCTGAACACTGAGCAGAGAGTTTATGGGCCCACCAGCTGCTCCTGAATGAATGCCTAAATCTGGGATTCCAGGTCTAAGGTGAAACGAGACATGAGATCCCCAAATAACCCAAGGTCCTGTTATCCCCCTGCTGGGGACACCCACCTGAGTCTGAGCAAACATGAGTTGATACCAACGTTTTGTGATGGCACCAACAGGCATCCACAGCTCTGACAAGGCTGGAGCTGCCCAGCATGGAAACCTTGGCTGTTGTCCCCTGCCCCAGCAGAAGACAAGCTTCAGCAGGGGCATTTCCAGATCACAACTAACACAGGGAGAGGAGGTGGCAGCACTCCATCCTGTTTTAGGCCTCAAAAAGTCTCATTTATGCAACATACCTCATGCAACCCAGTTCTAACCTGCATCCCAGATAGGAGAAGGTGTCCTTCTGTCCTAAGTGGCACACGCTAGAAACCCCCATAAATCAGGGAATTACTGGAAGAGGCAGTCACATCCACCCAAAATCAGCACATAATGTATGAGGTTCCACAGTCCTGGCTCCTCCTCTGCTGAAGCTGAACACCTGCTACCACTTGGCAAGGGAGGATGCTTTTCTCAACCCTTTGGCATTTCTGATGCCAACATATGGGGTGAAGAGCAGCTCCAGGTGATATCTTTCTTGGCTCCTCCTGGTTCAGGCACAGCTGAGATCACAGCACCAGTCTAACCAAAAGGGCTCTGGGAGCCCTGGTTTAAGGACTGGTGTAAACACACGCAACTATGAAATCCAAAGTCACTGCTGAGATAAAAGTGGTGACTTCTAAAGGAAAATGAGCTCAGGAGAGAGCTCCTACATCAACCTCCTGTAAGCTCCAGGATAACACCCACTGTGTTTGCTGTGGGAAAGAGGAGGAAAGAAGTGAGCCTGAGCAGGCTATGGGGGAAAGAAAAACAGCCACACAGCTATGCCAGAATGTCACAGCAGATCTCACAAAGATCCTTTTGCCAAAGCAAGGGATCCTGGTGGATAACAAGTTATCTATGGGACAGCAATGTGCCCTTCTGGCCAAGAGATCCAATAGTATCCTGCAATGCATTAAGAACAGTGTGGCCAGCAGGACAAGAGAGGTTCTCCTCCCCCTCTACTCTGCCCTCGTAAGACCACATCTGGAGTGTTGTGCCCAGTTCTGGGCTCCCCAGTTCCAGAGGGACAGGGATCTGCTGGAAAGAGTCCAATGGAGGCTACAGGGATGATGAAGGGACTGGAACATCTGTCGTATGAGGTAAGGCTGAGAGACCTGGGGCTGTTTAGTCTTGAGAAAAGAGGACTAAAAGGGCACCTTATTAATGTCCATAAATATGTAACGGGTGGGTGTCAAGAATAGGCCAGTCTCTGTTCAGTGGTGATAGGATGAGGGGAAATGGCACCAAGTGACAATACCTCAACATGAGGAGAAACTTCTTGGCTATGAGGGTGACAGAGCCCTGGGACAGGCTGTCCAGAGAGGGTGTGGAGTCTCCTTCTCTGGAGACTTCCAAGACCTGTCTGGACACGTTCCTATGTGATCTGGCCTGGGTGTTCCTGCTGCAGCAGGGGGGCTGGACTTGATGATCTTCAGAGGTCGCTTCCAACCCCTGTGATTCTATGACTCTGTGATTAAGGCTGCACTGAATACAGAAACCACAGCTGACACCAGAGAGGAGACATCAGCTCAAAAGCTATTTTATAGACTGTCAGCACTGGCATCAGTAACCCTTGTGCAGCCTCCATGCTGCCTCCACATCACACCCTGCTCTCAGATGGGCCACCAGCAGCCCAGAGGCATCTCCATCGGTGGAATCACAAGAGCCACAGGCTCCTGTTTGGCTGCAAGCCACCCCCCACCTGGTATCGTGGTGGAGAGAGCCACAAACTGCCAAGGGACACTGGGAGGCGACTTGCCCTACCTTCTGCAGCAGCAGTGAGAAGGATGGGGATGGTTCACTCTGGGGCATTCATGGACAGCAAGCTCCAGCCATGGTCTCAGCTTAGAACTGTGGCAGCAGGATGAGTCCCAGCACAGTCAGCTAGTAAGCTACTCAGAGTGAGCATTCTTACCTCTCCAGCGAAAAGGCATCAAAGGTTTAACATCTTTTGAGGGACTGGCAGCTCTTTCAGAGCAGCAGCATCAAAATCTCTGTCATCTTTCTGCTTAGTGCAGGAACCACAGAAGGAAGAGAGAGACTTTCTTTACTTGCCCTCTAGGTAAATCTGCCTCAGAAAACCAAAATAAATAAAGACAGCTTCTACTGGAACTGTTGACCTCCTACCTCTGGTGAAAATGAGCAACTAGTAATTTTCTTGCAGTACTCAAGCTGCAGGATGGAGATCTGCAGGCAAAGAAAGGATGATGGGCTTTTCAAGGAGGGAAAAAGCTGATCCCTGACCTCAGCAGCAGGCTGGGTCCTATTTAATGACATGACTGCTTCAGAAGCATTTATGGCGACTAAAGTCCAAGTAGCACAGCTTAAAGTATTTTCCCCATCATGCTGCACTCTTCTCACTGAGGTGTTCACAAAAGTGCAGCCAGGAGAGGAGAGATGAGCTGAACACTCCTAGCCTGAGCACATGGGCAACCCATGCCATGAAAACATGAGGTCAGTGAGATGGGTGCCACAGGCTGCCAGGTTGGGTGGATCAGTGCAGGGGGCTGAAACACAGAAAGACAAACCCTGTGCTGTTCTTCAGCAAACAACTGATGCCAGGACAGAGCTAAACCCTCTGCAGGCTTTAGCTAACTCACTCTCATAGTCTCGATCTGCCAAGCTTCTTCACCTCAAAAAATCAAGGGAGGATCTGCAGCCCCTTCTCTCCAGCAGATCTTAGGCTGGATCTGATGCTCTCTGCAGCTAACACATGACTGACTGGACTTCCCAGGAGATCCTGCAAGACCTGGCAGTCTTGCTGATTTTATGACACACCCTGATAACCTTTGACAGAGGCCTGGGTTCAG